ACACACACACACACACACACACACACACACACACACACACACACACACACCGTGGGGTTGTTTTTTTTTGGGGGTGGGGGGTTTGCTATCCTTCTCTGCCAAAGAAATTACCATGCAAGTAGATTATGTATAAAGTGTTTGTATGTACCCAACATACACGAAACACACGCACACTTCCAAAAACGTCAACAGGAAAGTGTATGTGTTTGTGTTGACATGAACCTCGTATGCCTAGGCATCTATAGAGACCTATATACAGGGCAAATCGTTTGGACTTTTAAAACTAATATTTTTGTTCATACTCATGTTTTCCAAACCCAATCCTTATTCAGGGAAATTTCTTACAGATTTCGTTGGGATGTTTGCAGGATGCACTAAGGATAGCAAGGTAGTGCAGGTATATTATAAAATATGAGGGAAAATAGTGCCTGATTCTTTTATTTTCCACACATACACCCTTACTCCAGGGCCAAAACAAGCTACCCTAGAGGAAAACAAAGAACCTCCCCCAAAACTCTATAGTTTTTAACATAGCACTGTTACTGGAAGACACACACACAGACACTCCGCTTATATGTGTCAATATGCACTCTATTAGGAAGTGTGGAAACTGTATTAAACCCAGTACAAGTAATTATTGTTTGCTATGTCCACTGTATTTCCTTCACAGTAAAACTTATTCAAACTGCATCATGCTGCGATTCAATGGGGTGTCTCTCCATTCTGTTCCAAGAGAGGGTAGGCTATGCTAAGCAATCACAGACATAGATTTCGGGGGTGGGAGGGTGGTCAGCAAAGCCAATTCTATAAGCTACTATTACCCCCATGGGTGGGTTTCCTACTGGAACTTTTTTTTGTGGTGGAGGGGGGAGAAATATCATTTATCGATCTTTTAAAAGGGGTTTTATGCATTTCTCCCACCGCAGCTAAACTTTACCTTTGCTCCGAAGAAAAGAAATGTCTACAAATCCATTAAATATAAATCTTGGTTTCTAGAGATACACCTAAAATCATAACCTAATGTATTTTAATTAGCCTGATGGGGTTTTTTTTTATTAAATTGCTTTTTTTGCTCAGGTCCTACAGTTATGAAGAAAGCACAATAAGATCAACATTAATAATAATAATGGTAATAATAATAATTCCAGGTTCTAAAATAGTTCTACAATATATGTATGTCAAATCGTTAAAAAAATCGCTTTCAGGGACATATTTATTCTGACGTCTTTTTCCCCCGAAGAAAGACAAAAGAATGCCAATTATTCGATATACAAACAGTCCAGTTTTTTAAAGAAAGCATCCCAGTTCAATCTGCTTTCAATTAATGCTATAGACACAAATATATTTTCATTAAAATACTAATTCTTATATTCCTTATTTCCCCAGGATTTTTCTAATTATATTTAGAGCAACGCACGAAGCGATATTTCTCTCCTTTTACAACATATTTTACACATTCATTTAATTATTTTTTACGAAAAGATGATCTATAACCCACAGACGGTAGTGCTGGCTAATATATTTTTGTTACTCTTTTATTAACCTTCCTGGTTAATACTAATTTTAATAGTAAGCAGTAAATCACCAACTAGATGTTTGGGTACTTTTATTTATTATCAGAAATCACATAATAATGCATTCATTTTTTAATTATTATCGTGAAGCAACTTTTTACATGACTATATAAAGCCAGAACGTGCTATGACAGACATTTGCATAGGCCCTACATATAATACCTTGAGGTAAAAAACATTACATATGAACTATATTGCAAACGATGCATATTAACAACCGCAATAAACTAGGCTAGAGATACAAGCAGAAAACTGTGCCACATACACGGGGAACTAACACAGGACAAACAGAAGTCTCACCGAATAATATTTTATAGCAGTCTGAAAGAGAATATTGCATATATGTTATACCTTTTAACATTTATAATCACGTGATTTCTTTTTAAAACCATTGAGTGGCGATGAACATCGCCTTTGTAACCAGACACATGTCCTGGGGACAATTGTCAAGTATTAAATTCTTGCTGGTGGCTTGTCCAATGTGTTTCATAGTATATAGTGAGTCCTCTCCTTCTGTATAGACAGAAAATGCTCTCCCATGGGCAAAGAATTACAAAAGTGATTTTTGATATTTAAATATAGCCCTGCATTATGACCTGTCACCCTAATTCCTTTCAGTCTCTACAGCCCTCAAAATGCAACCTTTCTCCTAGTCAGTGAATTAACTTGTCTTGGGTTTGTAAGGGACAGAAATGGTGAGCTATTCTTTAGTTAATAAATCAAGCAAATATTGATACATTTGGTGCCTCTGCATTTAGCAAAACTCGAAGGCATCACATTACATATCCGCGGACCAGGGTCCTCAGTTTGATCGAAAATACCCTTTTGCACATAAGATCCACTGCATGTCTTTATATATCATTTAGTGATAATGCGGTTTTAAAGAGTATCCTGTTCAAATTAAATGTCATAAATGGTCACTACAGGGCTGGGGATATATCCTTTGGGATCCTCGCGTTACCCTTTCACATAGGTAGAATTCCTCCACATTTCGCCCGCTTTTCATTGCACGTAGTATTTATTGCACAGTATTGTATGAGGCTGCGTCTTTCCCTTTAAACTCTTTTTTGTATAAGGTGTGTGTACGCGTGAAGTCTTGAAAACGGGTCTTCATCTAAAGGGGTGACATATGGGGGGGGTGGCGGGGGACAGTGGGGTGAAGGCGCTGAGAGGTGAGTGGAGGGGTAGGCTCTCCTAGATGTTTTTGGCACAGACATGGGAAACAGAGCTGAAGAAAAGGCCAGCTTTACAACCGGGAGGCATTTTTAAGGACTAGAATACGTCCTTTGCAGCTCGTAAATAAAGGCATTCTTTGCCACTACTGTTCGGTCATGACCATGAACGCAGAGAACCGGCAGCACGTGGTAATAATTTAGGCTTCCCAGAGAACGTTGCTTTGTAATAAAATTAATCCATCCTATATAAAACGAATGAAGCAAAGCTTGTAGTGGCAAAAATCTAAGCTACAGAGTCCCCTTTTATCTGAACCCTAGTAACTAATGTCCATCACCCCCTCTAAATATTGCTTTGCAGGCAGAAGGGTAGGAAATATCTGCCCAACGCTGCAGCTAGATTTCTTCCCAAGAAAGCTGGGGAGTCCGTACAAGGTTGATGGAATGCACACATTATGATTAAGCCAATTATTATTTTTCTGCAGTAAATCGAAACACACCTACAGAAAAAAAAACCCACACACAATATTCAGCCAGCCCTTCTGTGAAGGAGGAGCGCAGTAGGCCTATGAGGTGTGAACGGTGTGGGGAAGGGGGAAATGACCGGGTGTCCCCCACATTTTTCCTAAATAAAAGGACCGCACCCCCATAAATGTGGGGAGTGTCTGAGTTAAGGAAGAACTGCGGGTGATGGAAAATTGAATGTGTCACTAGTCTGGTTCCGAGGGAAAGCGGCCATTGATTTTTGTGTTTTTCTGTCTACTTGACTAGAAGTCATCCTAAAAAAAAAAAAAAAAAAAAAAATCAAAACCTGCTCCTTCATTTCTAAAATAAAAACCAAGCGATGAAGTTAATGTTTAAAGACAGCTCTAGGAAGAAAGTATATTTGTAGTTTGACGCCACGAGTGAACGCCACAAAAGGGTATTTTCTTTTCTGTGCCGCCATCAATAAACACAGTAAAACGGCACAAATACTCCTGCAGCGGAGTTGTGTTTAGGCACCCAAAATGACTTGAAGTAGCAGCTAATAAGAATACAATCGGGGCCAGTGCAGAAAACGCTCTTGGTTTTGGTTTCAGAGGAAATCTCTGAAAGGCTCAGTTTAATTTGGAAGTAAATTCCATTTTGCGTCGAAGGATTTTCGGTGGAGCGTGTGGCTGGGTGCGGGGCCTGGACTCATTTTAATACCATCCCATTTATTTTGAGCAAAGCACCATGCAAGAAGCGCCAGGTATCAGAGCTAAGTTCCTAGCTCAGGGACAACCTGCTACATATTGCTATACATTCTTTCCTTCTGTCTTCTTCCTATAGCTACTGACCAATCCCGTTATTTTGTTCGCCGGGAACCCTCGACTTGTAGTGAAAACGGGTCTGGAAATATGTACCACTGGCGAACCGTTCACCCTAAGAATGGGCGGAAGCTGAATGAAGGAGCCACACCACTCCAGAGAATGAACACCCAGCACTAAAACCTCCCTTACAATATAGGACAGTGACTTGGGTTCCAAGACTGATCTTTGATGCCGTCTGGAATAGGTACCAACAACAAAGCCAGAGCAGTCGGGGGGCGGGGGGAAATATCGCACACAGCCCAACAAACCTTATTGCTTGGAGGGAAACCAAACCATACCTGTTCGGCTTGTCAATGAAAGGATAGTGGGTCGTACTCAACCTCACACTCAGATTACACTCAATGCTGCTGACAATCTTTTAGACCATAGAAACCAACGCTGGCTGATGGGTGGGTTGGGGAGTTGCGCATTCACATCGGGTCTTTCCCAACAGTTCCAGTGTAGGAGATGCATATTCTCATATTTATATATGCTCGCTGATTTTTTTTAAAAAAAAGAAAATTATTAGTGATCAGGTAAAGTCCCGGAACCACCAGCTGGGATGAACACTAGAGAGTCTATGAGGTTAACCAACATGGACGCTTTTTGAACTTTAAAAGAAAGAAAGAGCTTGCTCCCTCAGAAGCAGTCTTTTCTTTTTCATGCGTCGGTTCTGGAACCAGATCTTCACCTGCTGATCACTCAGGTTTAATCGGTCTGAGAGCTCCCTCCTTCTTTGGCGGGTAATGAATTCGTTGACCATAAACTCCCCTTCCAGCTCTGCTAGCTGAAGCTTGGAATAGGGTTTTCGCTTTTTCCGGGACCTTGTATGCATCGGGTACCAAGGAGCACCTAAGGACGTGTGATTGAAAGGAGAATTTAATACACTGGAAGAAACAAAGTCGGCTTCCAAGATAGGATCTTTCTCCCACTTCCCTGCCCCTCGTCTGCATTCACAGTTTGTAACGCTCACCTCATAGCAACATCAGAGGGCATAAGGCAGAGGTGTCTCACACAAGAGAGATTCATAAATCTTGATCTGCAATACTTGATAGATCAGACTGATGCATAGATAAACACATAGAACTATTTCTTACTTAGGGTTGATATATAGATCTATATATTAGATACAGGTATGTATTTCAGATTGCCCCATAAGTCTACGTATTGGGTGCACGATATTTAACTAAGAGTTATTTCTTTTATCTGATTGGTATATTGTATACATCGATGTATTTCTTATATACAAAACTGATACATAAATCTGTCTTAGATACGTGAGAGACACATATTGCTAACTTTTGCATACAATACTGATACATGGATCCATATTTTAGTTACAAGCCTGATGAACAGACCTAAATCACACATGGGTCTACGTTTTGGATACATGGTAGATCAAGAAGCAACCTACGATATGGAAATCAGCTAAACTTTGTTGAAACCGCTTCATTGCAGAAGAGTATATACATAATGGAAGGCACCATTATAGGTATTTTTATGGAGCCTCGATGCCGCGGGGGGTTAGGGGTATTTTATGGCGCCTTCCAAATTTTAAAGGGGAAAAATCAATAAAGAGAAAGCCAACAGGTAGAAATCAGCGTGTTGGGTGTGGTATCCTTTCGCCTGACATGACCACTCCAATGTACCCAGCTCTGCCTTTTTTTAAGCATCACCGTTGTACTTAGCTTTTCAGCTCCCACGCAGCCACCCCACTGCACACCTTTGCCAAGCCTTAAAACAGTTGATACAGGGCGACTGATGCACTCAATCTCAACGAGCATATTCGGGGCGATCTGTGCGATCACTATCTATTTTATGGGATATTTACATGTTTATAGCCTTTTCTTTTCAAAGAAGCAGCACCTAATAAAACGTTAGGCATTTGAGTGCTACCCCTAGTGGTCTCTGCACAACTAGACATGCTGATCCCATTGCTAATTCCACACGAGTGGACCTCAGCGGAAGAGCCTTACAACGCATCATAAGAATCACAGCGAACAACACACATATATTCCTTTGCTTTGCTTTTGCTTACCACCAGTGGACAGATTGCTTCCTTGGTTGATAGGCGAGACCATTGTGGCTGGTTCGCTGGAAGAGCCCTTATTCCCTTCATTGAGTAAGGATGAGCTGGAGTCTGACTCCAAGGACTGGCAAGAAGGGGGATCGTGGGACACAGTCTCAGACGCCGGATAGTCATATTTGCTGAAATTGCCGCTCATTCCATTGGGAATCCCAGGTTCAAGTGGCATCAAAGCATTGTCCCTGACCCTTTCCTCCCTCTTGAGGCTGGCAGTCTCGGAGCAAGCCTCCCTGTAGTAGCATTTGCTCTCCTCCACTCTAGCTAGGTCGCACGCTCTGCTGAAAGAAGGGTTAATGGACACGGGGCTGCTGAGATAGGGCTGGGGGTATCCGTTGCAGGGCTCTGAGGATGCCCAGGGCAAAGAACAAACATTGTCCCTTCTCGGGTAGGAGAGAGACGGCAAGCCAGGCAGCTGTCCTCCGGAAGCTCTGAAATTGGGGAAGTAGAAGGTATCTCCCGTGTGGATGTTCACCAAAGGTCCCACAAACCCAGGATTAAGGAGATTATGCTCGCCCATTTCCGCGGGCCTGACCAAGAGCTTCTAGTTTATTGCTATCTGACATTAAACATAGTTAAACCTAAAGGTCCACCCCATTGGTCGGAGCGGGGTCACGTGGGCGCCAACTCGCGTTGGAGATGGGTGCCACCCACCCTTGGCAGTCGGAGGCAAAACAAAACATTAAGTTCTGCCTTTCGTTTTTATACGCTTTTTTTTAAAAGAAAAAAATAATCATAAAACATTTTATAAAATAAAGCAACGGGTTTAAGCACTGGCCTGAGAAACCCCATGTACTGTAAAAATGTACATAGACATCATATCAAGATATATAAATGACACCCTTCCCCCAGCTGTAGTTAGGGTCCGTCCAACAGCTGGCAAAATTAAGCAATTTTCTCATTAATTAGCCCCTTTATTAAGTAAAATCGTTGAAATTTACAATATCTCCCAATAAATTACTATTAGATATTGTGTCATATAAAGTTTACGGGCTCTTTAAGGAGACGAATGATTGGAACCGCAACAGGGTCATATTTACAGTTGATGGGATGAAAGAGTTTTAACATATTTGCAGCCCCTTAGATATTTTACAGGTTAATCTGTAGCACTAGGAATGTTTCCTGCCCGGCGTTCGGTACCGGGGAAAGGCGAGTTCCATCCCTGCTAGGGACAATCCTAAATTCAGGAATTACAAGCCTATAACTTCATCAGTCCCCACTCGCTTTTGTTAATGATCCCTGCCGAATAGGCAAGACAAAAGAGGAAGAGGAAAATATCGCTCTTCCTCTGCCTTCATTTCTGTAAAGAAAACTTCTTTACCGACAACTCCCACCGGCTCTCAGTAAATACAGAAATACACGGAAAAAAAAAAAGAAATCCGGTTCTTAGCCCTCTTATAACGATATGTTGTGTATTCGTGACAACTAGGGTCTTCTTCACTCGGGGATTGCAGAAGAGAGTCGGTTGTAGGAAAATGCTGCTGCCAGGAGATGTAAGACAGACATTCTTGGGGTATCTAATAGATTCGGAAATAAAGTATTATTTCAAAAGTCCGTTGTAAGGGACCCCGGACCCAGGAAGAGGCAAAGAGAAGACGCTTTAGAGATCTAGAAGGGGTTGGGGTTGTTTTTTTAAAAGAAAACAATATATACACGATTTTTTGATGTCTTTGGAATTTTCCCTGCTAGCAACTTCCAAGCGCAGTGACACCGGAAAACTACCGTAAAATTTCCTGTATAGGTAAAAAAGCTTTTAATGAACTAACGTGGGAGGTTGTAGAAATGTTAAACACATAGGAGTTGAACGGCAGACCCCGAATTTTTGAGATTCCATGGAGCACAAAACAAGTGTCTTCTATTTGAGCGGCTACTAGAATACAAAGTCATTTCCCCCCAGGAAAATATTGAAGCTATTGACTTCTCCCAGGTCTGCAGAAAAATGACCTCTTAATCAAACATCGCATTTTCTTTGGTAATTGTATTAAATGGTGAGCTCCAAAAATGTTCAAAAACCACCCTACACATGCCATATATACCCATATATACACACACATATGTAATAGATGAATATGTGTGCCTATATGTAGCCCCTCACATATACATAGTACACACAGTGATACATTCTGCTACTGGGTTTGTTTTATTGGAATGAAAGTTTAGTACATTTTTCAGCTTTCCAGGAATTATTTTCCAGGTATGGCTAAAAAGCTGCTTGAAATTTTTCCAAGTACATCGTTCTCGATTAAGAACACATTTTGAACGCTTTGCAACTGTGGAAGGTAATCGTTTATACGATGATGAGCATGTGATCTGGGTAGGTTGCCATATGAATCGGCTGGTTTTTTCTTTTATTTATTGAAAGAAATATCGTTCTTATTTCTTGGCTTTTTTCCGCGAAATTCGCTATGAGGCGGTGCACGTAAGGAACATGGCTTTGTTCTCATTTAGCCGCCGATGCATCTTCAGTCATCCTCTTATCTCTGATTTGAACATTGTGCGGCAACCCCCAATGCAACGTGTCAAAAAGCAGACTATGGTATCCATACTGGGCTTTACCTCGAGTGAATCCAAAACTGCGCGCTAGAATCTCACCTAAGGGAATTTTGTTACTAGTGAGATCAGTGCATTCAGAAAAATTATTTAAAACACTCTGTTAACTCTTCGCCGGACTTCCACATTAGGAAATGAGTTAACATATATACAGCGGGAAGCATAAATATATTCCCCAATGGCCTTCATTTCGAAACATGAGCAGATTTCTTCATTATATCATTTGTAGTTGGAGAGTTAACGTCCCTTTTACAGCTATCAGACAGATCAACAGAAAAGAAATACTTAGCGATTATTTATTAAAGTTGTTGTATTTCGACCATGATCTCTTTCCATGAAAGATACATTTTCAGTTAAAAACTAATGATTAAGCTTTTAAAATTCACTCCGACGGCTGTTGCAAAGCAATGTAATTACATACCGTAGTGCTTAAAATAAAACATTCTAAATACCAGTTTAATATTTCTTAATTATATTACTAATTTAAGAAAGCGATAATTCATTTTACCAAGTATATCCTAGTCTTCCCTAAGGACACATTGACGAATTTTCAGATGAAGCCATGATTATTTTATTTTATTTCTACAGTCCTTAAAGAAATAACAATATCAGAACTAACCCCCCTCCCCAAAGCGTTCACAAAGTTGTTTTACCTTTAGTGAGAAATCACTAGGCCTTACCTCTTTAAAATCAACCCCACTGCAGGTAGAGACCTAGACACAAATATTTAGTAATTTTCACCACGTTTATTTCCCTTCTTCCTCATACAGAAACTCATCCAAGCAAGGAAGTAGAAAAGGTTCACTTTAATATTACGGCACACGTAATATTAACCTAACTAGAAATTAGGAATAGCTACTTTGAGAAAGAGAGAGAGAGAGAGAGAGAGAGAGAGAGAGAGAGAGACGAAGCAAAGTGAAATCGCACCCAGGCAGTTCAAGGTCACTGTCTAGTGTAGTAAATAGGATCTACATTTTATGCAAATTAATGTCTCGAAAGAGCATCAGTCACTGCAAGTGGAAAGAAGAGGCAGAAAACGCCTTAACTTTTGGTTACCCTCCTCTCCTCATGCACAGTCCTCCAAGTTCTCTTATTTATTAATATTTTATTATCCTTGGCAGTTCTCCGATTTCAAACTAGTTCTGTCCTAATGTGTGTACTTTGTGAAATAACATTTCCCTTACACTGCCTTGTGATTTCTTCTCTAAATATTCCACAGGGTTTATCTCAAGTGCTCCCTGCATTTGAATATACTCCTTTGTTTCCCCTGGATCCGTGTTTTAAAAATTAAATATGGCCCCCGTCAAGATATTTACATGTTAAGTTTAAAGAACTAAGGCTATATCCCTCACTTTGCCCCCAAGAAAGCATAAATAAACTTAATTCACTCTTGGAAATTTTCTATCCCAAAGATATTGCAGTAAATTGCATATTTTATTCTATTTTTAACAAGAGTGAAATATCTAAAAATGTGACTTTTTGATTAGACATTTCTAGCAACTACTTTCTCTTCCTAGCTGAATTTCTTGCAAAACATGCTGGATTTTTAAGGAGTTAAATATCTTTGGTATTTAATCAATGAAAAGTTAGTTACATGGCCAGAAGAAAGAATTTAAAGAAAAATAAATTAAAAGAGGAATAAAGTATGCACTGAATAAGGTAAATCTATAGGACTTCCCTTATTTCAATTCAGTTACATATAATTTAAATTACTGGAATTGGCTATTTCTGATAGGGAAAGTATTTTTACAAGGATAGGATAGTAAAATGGAATACATAGTGGTGAGGGTGGGGGGGGGGAGATCAAAAGATCGAAGACTGTTCGATGTGTCTGTATAAGAATGTCCAGAGTTAGCTGTCCTTTGATTTCATTTAATTTAATATGCAGAATATTTGTGTTTGTTTTTATTTAAAAAATCAGGTTAAACGATTAAGAAAATCTACATAGTTCTTGTCTTCTCAGTGCACTTAATAGTTAAATACTTATGATGCCACTACATTTTCCCCAACACTGCCAGCAGAGGATATCATTCTCCTGCTGGATTAATGTAAACTGATGCCTACATCCTCTGTAAGGCAACTTCAGAAAAGTTTATTTTGTCCATGACGCTCAACTTTTCTCACAATCACAATTGGCGCTGCATACTGTCATTTTATGGCGTGGACCCTGTACCAACACGCTAGTTAATGTGCTAAGATTCAAGAGAGTCTTGATAAACTCTGTTTCAGAGCGTGCCGAATGTTTTCAAACATATTTTATGTTCTTTACTCTTCATGTGGGTGGGTTGGTGGGTGGGTGAGGGTTGGTGGAGAAGTTAGGGCTAGAACAGGTTTGTTAAATCTTCCTATGGTGCAATTGTCATCCAAAAGAGTTTGAGATGCCCACAGGACAGTAACTTTCATTCAAAGTGCATCATAATAAAGATATTAACTTTTCTATGTATATTTCTTAAAGGCTAATAAACACATTGGCTTCAAAACTCTTTGTTACTGTGCTGAAACATATACAAGAGACATTTCATATTTCTAAATGAGCAGAAAACAAGAAGTTTGTGATAGATAGATAGATAGATAGATAGAAAGATAGATAGATATTAATTACCTTAAAAAGAATTTACACAGGGCAATTCCTTTTATTTTCTTCTTTTACTATTAAAAATATCGCAACAAAGACTGGAAAATTTCCATGTTCCAGATATACATTTATCATTATTCAACCCACTGACAATTATATATACCTCAACATACAACTCAATGATGTGAAACCACATTTTCCCTCAAGACTAGCAATTTATTCTTCAAAAGTGAGTGAGCCAGAACTATGAAAACTGAAAATGGAGGAAAGGGGGGGGGAAATAAGGAGCATTTCACTATAAAGACCGTGGTTAAGAAGTTATTCAAACTACTTGATACAAAGGAAAGAAAAGACTAAACTTGTGAAACTTCCTTTTCATGCTTTTATTGTTGGTC